CAAGCTCAATTTTATTTTGAATGGATAATTATTGATTAGAATTCTTTTGCAATGTATTTAAGGCAAAATAAAACTGCCCCAAAAATTCGACGGAATCCCTAGCAACGACATTGCATGGCCGTTAAACCATAACGTCTGTACAATACTTTAAGGCTTAGCGTGCATCTTTTTATTCTTCTTGTCTTCTTCCTTACATACGTTTTCTTTCTAGACCTCTTATTTTTTGTGCCTTTCATCTGTAATAGCTTATATCATTTACCATGTCATTTTCCTCTGATATAATGACCTAGGCCGCATCTATATAAAATGACTATTCTTATTTCTCTTTCTTGAATGAATAAAGTTTAAACTAAACTAAACTAACTTCAGTTTGAGCAAATTCATAAACAAGTTCCCTCTTCGAAAGCTATCTTCTGTCTTACGCGTCTAAGAGTTTCCACTTCACCGCTAGCAATGCTGATGCATGAAATCATTTACAAACGTATCAACTTGTACTAGTGGAATTGAAGTACGAGGGTTACGATATGTTCAAAACTTGAAAGTTTTTTTTCCATAAAGTAAGAACTTTTAGTTTTGTCTTTCTTTATTTTAATATACTATCTTTCAAAAGAAAATTAAATCTTTGTCAAAGTTTCTAAAGCATGAAATATTTAGTTTTTGTGTACCTCAGAAAAACTAGAGTTAAACTTTCCATGACAAATACAGGCTCTTAAAACCTTTTCCCATTCTTAAACACAAAAGACAAACTCACGTTTTTTTTATTTCGGGAGAGGATGGGTTCACTTTGACTTTTCTCGAAAACAAGCTGATAAAGAGATGGATAGATTTCATCGACAAAAACAGAAACTATGTCAGGCTTCCTTTCCTTACTTAATTCATGATGGAATGCGTCTCTTTGTCTTTATATTTAATTCTGCCATTCACACGAGAAGAACCTCCTCACTTTTCCTTGGAACATCCATGATGATACGTAGTTTTTGATGCTGATCACCAGTCTGACGCTCATTTAGACTTTTGGAGTGGATCTTTGGCGAATCAGCCTATGAAACTACCTCTTGAACAAGATGGAGAGATTCTGATCTGTGTATCTTGTACAGTATGCTGAGTTACCTGTATGAGAAAGTTTTCAGGCTTAACGACTGAGTTTCGGTTCAGTTAAAGAAATTTTACTCTAAAAGAAGGCGAAAAAGTCAAGACTCTATAGTAAGTCGATATAAAATTTTTTTAATTATATCGAAACTCAGTCGTTAAGGCTGAAAACTTTCTCATACAGGTAACTCAACATAATACAACATATGATTTCGTTTCCGTGCAACATATGCAAGACAAATCAGAATCTCTCCATCTTGTTCAAGAGGTAGTTTCATAACTTGGTTTCCCGAAGGTTCACTCCAAAAGTCCCAATGAACATCAGATTAAGGAATAACCAGCAAGGTTCGGAGTTTCGTTAAAATGTTGCAAATTTATTCTAGTTTATTTTCTTAAAACAGAAAGTGCTTATGTCATATAGTTATTGGGTTAAGCCAGGAAGAGTAAAATGGATGGCTTTCTTTGTCCAACAAAACTGATCATACATGCAGTTCGATTTTTCATTTTTTACATAGCAGACGTTAGTTTTAACCTAACAAAAAGAGTGTATTTTGTGCAGTTTTTCTCTCTTTTGACTCATATGTACTTCAGAATTTTAAACCAGAGAGTGGAGAAAAAGTAAACAAAATACAAAACAGTCTGTTTTTTTCGATATTTTTTTCTAATGCTTTTCGTAAAAAGTTAATACTTTCATGAGGAAATGTTTTCAAGGCTTAAGAACTCTATTGAAGTTTTTGTGTAGGCCTAAAAAGATAAACGTTAACGTATCTTATAGATTTTAGACTCTTGCTCTCATTCAAACTATATAAGAGTTTCACAGAAAGCCCATAATATTTGTCTTTTCGTCAACACTTAGCGGAAATTTCGTTTCTTTATATAACCTAGCAGCGAGTAGAGTCTAAACTGAGTACTTCAGGTTTTTGACAATTAGTATCATTAGCGGTCTTCTTTTTATGAGTGAAAATTATCGTTTATTCGCAGTAGGATGCTTCGAAATCAAAGTTATCGTAAAAGAACGGTCATCATTTTTCTGGTCTTTATTTCAGAATGTCACTCGCTTTCTCGTGAGACCAAAAATAATTGTGGAACGATCATTCGTATTTTCAAGATGGAAGAATTTTCGCTTGATACGTTGATTTTGAAAAAGACTGTTAGTGGCAGTACTTTTGTGAATTTGTACATCCTTTCTTGAACTCTGAGTATCAACATTTTATGTACTATTCGTATTTATTTTCTAGATAAAATTGTTTATTATTATTTCCCTAGATTGTCAGACATTTTCTAGTATTATTTTTAGTTAATCATGTCGGATGCTCCTGAATCAGTTGAAGAAAAGACCATAAGTGATTTGAAAGCTGGTCATGCTCCAGCAATTAAAGTTGGTAAGGGCAGACAAATCGAAAAGAATTTCTCTGTCGATTCCAAACGGATGATTTTACATGATTTGTTGTTTGTCTTTAGGTGGTATGCGTGTAGCTGCTCCTCGTCGAACATCTCAGAGCGATGATAAGAAAACTGGAATATCAAAAGAAGGTCCTGGTGATGAAGCCAGCCCAGGTGATAGTACAGCTGCTGGAAGTGCTGAAGGTGGACAAGAAACATCAGGTGAAAATGCTGGTGATGGTGGTGAAGAAATATCCGGGTATGTCGAACGGTAGTTGTGCGTAGTATATGATTCATATTTATGTAATTTTTTTGTAGAGCGGTCTCAAAACATCAGCCAGCTGGAATGGTGATTGGTGGAGAATTTGTTCGAGTATATTAACACAGTACTTTGGAGGAGCAGTAAGACATTGTTTCTCTATTTTAGATTCAAGATGCATTTCCAACTGAAGCTGTTCGCCACACACATGAAAAAGTTTTTGAAAATCACCCGAAAAATGAATTTCATACGCGCACAAATCATCAGGACAATAAATTCATCACTCAACCAAGAAAAATGTAACACGATTTCGTGAAAAGAGGGCAAATGATTGTTATTCCAATGAAAAAACATCTATATCATCGTTATGCTAATATAATCACTCCACTTCGTTTTGTTCTCGTTTGCTTCTTATTGTGGATGCTTATCTCTTTACTGAGGGGAGCCTGGTTAAGATTTTTTTTGGTCCTTTTCGTTACTCTAGTTAGAATTAAACTGAAATGGTACTGCTCTCGATTTCAAAAATAAAGAAAATAAAACCACAACAGACCCGTTGTATTACATTAGGTTCAAATACAAATTATCAGATATAGCCACCTAGCGGATGTTTAGTCACAGTCTCACTGTTTCTTTGTTTTAGCGAAGAGTGAACGCCAACAGGAAGTCAATTTTTACAAAAGTCTTTTAGGTAATCGTTTTCTCCGATTTTTTGAAACGAAAAGTGTTTCTTTTCACTAATTACTATTTTGAAAAAACTTTGACTAGGAAGAATCTTTTCTCGAAAATCAAAAAAACATGGCACTTTACTTTCACGAGCGTGAAAGTTTTAACAAAAACCTCCTAACTCTTTCCTTCAGGAAAAAAAGGTTTTCTTTCCCTAGCACTAAACCAAACGTACCTTCTCTCTATCATAATCCTCCTCCAGCAACTTGTATCCTTCTGGAATACTTTTGCTTCCGTTCGCCTCATGAAACGATTTGACCTTCGATAAGGGTCATTAAGGTGCGTAAATGCAGTAGTAAAAATTACTAAATACGAGTTCAAAGCGATCTGAGCACTTTTGTCTAGCACCAATATTCAATCTTGATCATAATTTGCTGCTAAACTACTGCGCCTGAATCTTTTGTTATACAAGTTAACACCGTTATACTGATTTGGAAATGTGCAACTAAAGGTAGCTAAACAAAAGAAGCTAGCGTTAATGCTTCGAGCTAACTTGTAGGCATAAAGACTCTCATTCAACCAGGGCTCCTTGATATTTTTTGACTAATACCAAATCGATTGTCAAAATCATATGTTCAAAGACATGTGTAATAAATTCAGTTTTGATCCGTTGACCAAATGGAATAATTTACATATGGTTGAATAGAGCATTGAAAGTTAGATCTAGCGGCATGCTTTTCGTCTTCATCAGTTCATATTACTATCCATCCCAAATACAAGACCCGTGGGTATTTTTCGAATAACGTTTGATAGGAATGAGATAGAGACCTGCGATTTTCGCTGTTCAATAGCCAAGACTTGAGCAGAACTTTTCACAAGCTGAAGTAACTTTTGAAAAATTCCAGAGATCGGGTTTTCAGAGGATTTTTGGAAAACCAGCTCCGTTCTCAGAAAACTAACATACAATGTTAGTAATTTTTTTGCATGCGTAGATAGCTCGGACGTTACTCTACAAAATTATGCAAGTCCCGGCTCTTTAGCTATCGTCGTTCGGGCAGGGCTCGCTTTACCCGAGCACGTGTCTATCTCCGAGCAGACATCTCTGGGAATCTCAAAATGCCATGGACTACAGGTAATCGACTACGCTGAGCCTAGTAGCAACATTTGTTTTTTTGTGTAGAAATGAATATAACTTCGCCACAGGCATTGTTGTGAAAAACCGGTTTTTCGCCTGTTACTAGCAAAAATTAAAATCCTTATATCTCGATCAAATCTCATGCTGACTCAAGGAAATTTTCAAGAAAAGCTTAAAAGGTGCCATATGTTGTTGACCAAGCCGAAAAAGTGATCCAGCAGAACACTGATGCTCTGAGGTTTTTCAGAAGGTTTCT